ATAATTGCATGAAGTAAGTGATAAAGAAGGAATATGATTTTTTATTGCGATTAAGGTAGAAGCTAGTAGCTGGTAGGATAAGGGATGGAACTTTATCATGAATTAAGGAATTATTAAAGATAAATTAACTTCAGAGAATTCTTGATGCAAGGTTAAGTTTACAATTTGTTTGAAAATTCTCAACAAAAAAAGCTAATTCAGCTTGAATCAGAAAAATTTACATTAAGTCCAATTTGCCTCCAAGCCATAACAATATTTTTACAGTTAAAAAATTTCCTTTTATTTCTATACTCAAGAAAGCTAGCATAGCTTGTGCACAAAATGATGTACATAGTAACAAAAAAATACATAAAAAAGCACAATTTTATCTGAGCTGGAATCAGATGACTTTTAAGCTAACAAGAAAATGCATAGTGTAACGAGAGATAATAAAGCTCATTCATAAAAAGAAAGTATGACATAAAGTTTATTTATCTTTTATTTGTATGTGTGTATGTGTGTTTGTGAATGAATGCTTCACAATGGCTTATGATAAATTTTTAAATAAAATAAAGAAAAGATGAACAATTTTCATTTAGTGAATGTAGTGATAATGCTTAGCAGAGATAGAGTTAATGTAGTATGAGAATAAAAAAATTATACAATCATTTGGGATGAGACATGTTCTCTCATTTCTGGATGTAAGAATGTTTTTAGATAATAGATGAGATGTGAATACATTTAAGACAAAATTGGGCGTAAGACATGGATGCTAATTTGAAAGATTTAGTTTTTATACTACAGAGGTGGTCATCTTGAGAGTCATGACTCCTAAATGTGTCTTTGAAGATTTTCAGATAAACAGCAAAACAAATTTGCAATCTTGAAGTTTGCCGGGATGCTAAAAAGATTGACCACAACTGCTCCACCCAACAAAAATTCCTTTTCTGACCTCAATCTTGAGTTTTTCTTTAAGCTTCTGTGTGTGGATTGTTTAAAGAACAAGAAGCTTATGTGAAGAAACAAAATCAACCTTCATCAATCATCTTTGAACTTCTTTCATGACTGAGATCATCTTTTGTTTTGTACTCATTTAGCCACATAAATCCGACACTTTAATGTAGAAACAATTTTGTGGGAAAATCAATTATTTGAAAAGTATTAAGGAAATCGAAAAAGTTTGGAAGTTTCAATCGAAATTCTTGGACAGTTGATTCTGATGAAATAGTTTCAGTTTTAAGATTAGTCGATGACAACCACAACTAAGTTTGCATAAAGATTAAAATTGATGCAGATCTTGAAAAGTCCATTGAATGACAGCAACAATGAAAAGCAATGAAAAAAACCAAATGACAATGTAATCTCAAGGTAACAAAGAAACTCAAGTAATTATGTTGTAAAGTTCTAATAAATGCGAAAGAGGATTCTGAATGCAGAAAACATTGTCCGCTTTTGGGAGTAGTTCATTTATGACGTCTCAAATGTTGGAAGTAGAAAAGACTTGATGTTTTTCTTGGAGTATTGAAACAAAACGGATTTTCTCATAGATATTGATCATTAAAAGCATCAAGCTTAGATTGCAAACTAGGTTTTAACTCCTGGTCCAAAAAATGATCATTCTTCAGACTTTGAAAGTCCCAATCATCAAACACACATCATTTTTTAAATGCTCCGCTCTCACAATGCACCAAGATCTCCACTACTGAATATTCATGTCAGAAAGGAACTAAGAAAGATTTATCTTGTGTGCATAAAAAATTTACAAGCTACATAAAGCAAGCACAAAAAGAGAGAAAAAAGCTCAAACCACAATGCGGGATTTACTGAAAGTTTTTTGTGTTCATTCGAGAATACATTATGCATGATAATGGAGGTAAAAGGGGGGATAATGTGAATATCACAGATTGTCTTTAAAAGGAGATAAAGTCATGGATTAGATGACAAATCGATTTGACATTTTATTGAATCAGGAATCGAATTATCCCTCTTTTTATGAGGATTTGAAATTGATTTTCATTGAAAAAAATTGATGATTGGAGGAATTGAGGGTTGTTGTAGAATAGGATATAGTTTTGGGATCTTAGGTAGGTGTTTTAAAGTTTTGCAATGTCAGCAATTCTTGAAGTTGAATTTTGGATCTTTTATATTGTTCTTCCAATGAAAGCTAATATTTAAACAAAAAGGTTTAAGTTCCTAGACTCAAATTGAGTATTTAATTCAATTTGAAAACAAACTTGTCAAAAACTCAATTCCTTGAAATCAAAACTTGTATTTGAATCTTAATGCAACTTTCTTTCAATTCAAACAGATGCAATACCTTCAAATTAATTTAAAAACTACCATTAATCGCTAGATTAAAAGCAATAATTAATCCACTTTCCAAACAAAAGTTCTGAAAGATGATTTTTTTTTTACATCTGATAAATTGAGATTAATTACATTTTATCTCATAATTTATCTTTTTTTTTTCTACTTGCTGGATTTTTTTTAAAGCAATAAAGAAACAAGCTGAATCCGCACATGAACTTGCTTGTCGTGTGAAAATCAGCAGCAGAAGAATCTTGAAAAAAAAAATTAAATTAAAGAAGAATTTCCAACTGAAAACTTAATGAATATTGATTCATAACTATGTTTGACGTCGAAAAGAATGAAAGAAATGCGAATGGAAAATTTTTCATAAATCCAAGCTATTTTTTCCTTATGAAAGTTGTGATAATCAGAGATCAGGGTTGGGAAGAAAGAATTTGAGATTCAACTATCCATTTCATGTATTTTGAAGGACTCAAAGCTTCCAGATTAGACTTCTTGATTGAATCATACTAGATTTTGCCAAAGATCAAGACTTTCTAAGAGAAAAATACAGCTAAGTTACTATTTAATAACTTTGAAGACATAAATCTAAGCAGCGTCCATGTCTGAATTAGGACCAGATTGATAGAACTTCAATAGGAAGGAATTGACCAAATCTATAGAATTTAAAGTTAATAAATCACTGATAAAATTGATAAAGATATAACCAAATACATACAATTACCAACTCTAGCTCATAAACTATACTCATACATCCCAGCATCCTTCTTTCTATCTCTTTCATCTCTTTAAAGATAATTCATATTTTATATTCATTCAACTATGGAAAAGTCCTCGTCTATGACATGAAATAAATCGCACTAAAAAGTAAGAATGTCTCTGCTAAATATAAAATAAAATACAAAAGAATGTAGCGTAATGAAAATATAAGGAATATTATTGTAAAAAGAATAAAAATTGTGCATAATGAAATTGATTTTAGAATCTTTATTTACACTGAAAATAGTTCTTGTTCAAATGAAGTTTATAAAGAATATTAAATTTGAAAATCAATAAGGAATTATTGGAATTAGAAGACAGTTTGATTGGAATGTTGTGGATAATTTGATAAAAATTTGCAATAATTTGGAGGATTGATCTTCCTCGATGTTAAAGAAAATGCAATTTTCAATCTTAAGCATAGGAAGACTAAAGATCCAAACTGTTACGAATGAAATCAATTTCACCAAACATTTTGGAAACAGACATTTTTCATAACAAGTCAAACAAACTGCTTCCTGTAATAATTTTAATAGAAACAAAATATAAAAAAATCTTTGAAAAGAAAATTGTAAAGAATGATCACAAAAGAGAATCTATTTGAAAGTAACAATCTATTTTTCTGTAAATATTTAATCACAACCTATACATTATTGATACCTTAATATATTTATTTTTCCTGAACAAAACGAAGAAGAAGAAAAAAAAACTTTCACAATTTAAAATGATGATGAAAAAATATTATTAAAGAAAAAGGAATCAAGATTGAAACAAATAAAAAAATTGAATCAATAAAAGAAATCTTAACTTAACAATGAAACAGAATTGAGTTTAGAATTACTTTTCTATTACAGATGGTTGTAGGTATGGAGTTCTTTTGATCGATTGATATAAAGTAAATATTGAGGATAAAGTATCATCGACATTTCTAATGATTTCTTTTTGACTTACATTAAAACATTTTTTCTAGAATTTCTTAGTTTATTTCAGGTTTTAAATACTTTCTTTAGTTTGATTTAATCCTTAATAAAGTAGCCAAACAGTCTATTGAAGCTTTACTGTAATATTAAGAGACAGAATCTCTAAAGAAAATTTCAGAACTTAATTAATTGTAAAACCAGCAAGCAATAAAGACAATCTCCAATTCCACAAACTTCCATCAGCAATTTTTTTGCACTTAAAAACTGCATGTGCTACAACCAATCTGTGATGCCACAGACAAAAAATCCAACGTTTGAGTTGAAAAGAATATTAACTAAATTTATATGAGTTAAACATGCATTCTCTTTAAGGCACATGACAACAACACTTTCCATTATTATTTCTATTGCAAGCTTGCTTGATGACATAGAATCTGCATTGCAAAGCCACACAAAATGCTTTTTGATTCGTTTTTAATGATTGTGCTCAAGGATGGAAGAAGCCACATGAACTTTAATGAAAATAATTTTTTTTTCAATTTCCAACTTAATTTGAATAAAAATAAATTTCTGTTCTGATCCAAAAATACTTTAACTGCGCAATTAAAAATTAACTTTTAACTTCATATCATCCAACTGTCTAATACAACCTCCACAATCATTAATGAAATTTTCATTCACTTTGTTGATATGCTCGTTACGTGTGTGGGAAAAATTGCTAATTATAGTTACATTTTATGTTTCCTGTTCTTTGGTTTTGTGCCTTGCAGAAAATGGAAATTAAAATTTTATACCAAAAATATGGATGGAGTTGCTTCCGTTAATGTTTGCCTGCTGGAGTCAAATGACTTTTCGATGGTAAATGTCAATGAAACATGTGTGTTTAATAATTCAAAGAACTGATGCTGGAAGTTCTTAATTTGTTCAATTATTAGGAATTCTTTAATAATTCTTGAGCTTTAGAAGTTAGACAATGGAATCAAAACGAAATCTTCATTCATTTCGAAATATATGTTGCTTTCAATTGATTGAATCCAGTTTAAATTAAGGCAAAAATAGTTTTATTTATTGAAAAAGATTGAATAAATTTTAATTTTATATAAATCAGTAGGAAGCACTAATTCAGATCTTGATATATAGTCATCACATTGATTATTGATATTCGTTCCATCAACTTTAAAAGATTTGTGTTGTTGCGTTTAGATTGTTTCCCCACTCTCTTGCCATTATTAGCATTGTCGATCTATGAAGTTTTGGTCCAATTAAGGGTCCGATTTGTGCCAGATAACAGCAAAGCCAGCTGAAATGAGGAAATTCAAATTTTAATGGCTGCTGTGAAATCTACTTCATGATACTTACAACAACCAGCAACAAATTGAAGACAGAATAAGACAACATCTTATGATTCTGAGAAAATTAAAGAAATATCCTGAGTAAAACCTAAGAGGCATCAAGCAATAAACATACCCTCTGTTTGGACCTTTTGGAGTAAATATAGGAACAATAATTCCAAGAAATGCAAAGACTCCAGTGAAGACATAAAAAGGCCAGTCAAAAAACATCACGAAATATTATTGTTTAGTATTAAAATATCTAAAGTCTTACTAATACTTGAGCACTTGATGAGAACTTATGAATCAGAACTGTATTATTCTTAATTAAGGCTGATAACTTTTATATATTAAATTTCTATGACTAATCCTGCTTATTTAAACTCTATTTAAAGTCATTACTAGTTAAGTTGCTTATGAAGATAAGAAGTCTATTCTAAAAGCTACAAATCTTGATATAACATTGATAACAACAACTGAAGAAATGAAGAGTTTTTAAGCGCAACAACATACTAAGGAAATCTGACTGTCGAAATCTCTTAATTGTAGGAGGATGAAGAAATATTGTCGACATTTTCAAACGGATTAGCCGTTAGGATTAAGGGATGGACTCTAGATTTGCAGGAAAGATTTTTCAGTCACTGAACTGGAAACCTGAACTGTTAAAAATATAGTACATAATAATTTTGGAAATTTGGTTCTGATTAAACCTTTCTAAATTAAAGAATTGTAACAATCTTGTGCAAATCGAAGTTATGATTATCAATCCTCAATAGTTCTTAACGATAAACCTTTTTTAACATCCCAGATCTCTTTTGTCAATAACACTGTCATTGCCTCTTACATCTTGCATTCCAAACCATCAATTTAAAAACAATCCAAAAAAAACTCTTTATATAATTTTCGTAATTAAAATTGGATCCATTTTTATTCACATATCCATTTTTTTCATATCCAAAAAAAGGTTTAAAATTAAAAAATCTTTTCGTCTGTTCATCATCATTTTTAAAAATAATAATCATAATAAAATAATAATAATAATAATAATGATAGGAATAAAAATATAAAATAAGGTCTCATATCCAGTTACTCATTCAATATAATAAAAAATTTTCATCATTATTTTTTCGTCGTTTTTTTAACCACTTTTCATAAAAGAGAAAAATTGCTCAGCATTAAAAAGAAAGGTTTTCGTCATCTCAATAAATGCCCATTAGCTTAAAATTGCAACAGATCGTCGCGGATCATTTCGTATGTTGTCGAGTGATGACCACTTTTTCATACCATTTCTATGTGCTTCTGCTGTATATTTATCCTGCATGACGCGCGACATCGCTTCGAGCTTTTGTGCACGCTCCTTTGACAGTGGTTCGGTTGGAAATGAGAGATCGTTGGCTTCAGCTAATGATCTTAAGTCAAAATAATATTTCGCATATACGGATGACGGTACGTTAATGTTAAACTGTAACAATTCGAGAAATTGTCGCTCTAATTCATTCATATCCTCAACGGTTATGTCTTTTAGAATTTGACAGTAATCAACATTCCATACAGCTTGATCATCCCATACTTTACTAGCGAGTAAAATGGCACCTAATACAATTCTCTTCCAATTGCATGGTGCAATATCCAATTCCGCATATGTTAGTAATCGTTCAAGGTAAACAAGTGTAATAATTGCACATTCGGCTGTCAATTGGGCAGCATTAAAGAGCGTCCTTACAAATTTATAAATCTGTCTATGTTCTGGATTATGACGATCATAATCGTCAGTAACACCATCGCGTGTCAATGGATGTAGTCTCTCATCAAATATATCCATTCGTCGTTCCGATTGGCGATTCTTAATATGATAATAAATGGCTAGTGATACACACTTGACTGTATTCTTTAAATTTGGCTGTGACACGGTACTGTCATCAAGATAAATTGTCGAACAACTGGAACTTTTTTTGAGACCTTGTGGTGCAATTTGATGCGAAGACTTCTTTCTTGTCATGCCATTCTCAAGGCTCTGTTTTGAACGTTCGAGAAATAGTGTTGCTGCCGATGGATCGCATGATGGATCTAAATTATCACCATCGTCGCCCTCACGCTCTGATATATGCTGTAAATTATTCGTTGATAAATCCCCTTCGGGTAAATGCTCTTCAAACACGGGTGGATCTTTTGCTTTTGCTTTACGTGCTGGAGGACTAGGACTTCCGAAAGAGCAACAAGAATTCTTGTTGCCCATCTTATTTTTCTTAAATCTTTTTTCTTTTTAGGTATTAAAAATCTTATACTTAATTGTCTTTTCTCTCTACTTGCTCCGAAAAATTCTTCCTTGTTACTGCTTGCCTACTTCATTCCTACTCTATACCTTTATTTTTTTTTGTGACTTGACTTCTTTCTTTCTTTCTTTTTGGCCGAAATAAAATTTTATCTAAATAGCGACTTCTATGACTAGTTCCACTATGTATTTAATATTAAGCTGAATGCTCTATCTTGTCGTCTTCCTTATCAATTATTGACTGCTCTGCCTTCATAAATTCCTCAAATGTTTCTTAATTTCTTAAATGTTAATCACTTCTATAAGTATAGCTAAGTTTTGGCACAGGAATCATAAAAACGAGTGTGTTACTGGACTGAAAAAATGCACCTTGAAGTTATTTTCTTCTTTAATTCTTTTGCTTAATTAATGTGTAAAAATCCTCCTTCCTTATTTTTTTTACTTTATGTTAAAAATGTTTCTTTTTTTTTGTTGTAAGATCTTCGATGGATCAATGGAACTTCCTAAAATTAAACAGAAAGAAAAACAGAGAAATTAGTACTTACGTCGAAAACATGATCATTAATTAACGCAAATTCAATGAACCGTTGTCATGTTATGAGGTATTTTTAAAGATAGAGCTTCTCATGCATGAGGTGCTACATAAATGATTCATAAACAATTCCTCATTTGATCATGACTCAGGAGATTGTGAGAGATGATTTTAACTAGCTGATAGGCAAGATTGATTCATTAACTTGTGTTTATTAAATAAACTTTATTTCGTATGTAGATGAGCTGATTGATTAACGTATTTTCATTTTTCAAATTTTAACGAACTTTTGAAGTTTGAATTTTGTGCTAAAATCTGGAATGCATGCTAAAAAATCAAATTACAAAAATCCGTTAAAATTTAAAAAAATAATTAACGTTCAATTCAAAATCAATTCCCCGGATATTCAGAACCTCCAATCCCTAAGCTATTTCTCTTTCACGCAACAAACATGAACCGCATTTTTCATATATTTTTTTTTGCTGTGTGAATTTTCTTCTTCTGCCAAACCCATTTTTCTTCTATACAAGACATAAATCTAATTGATGAATGCATTTTCGCGTAAAACACAGTCTTTTAGTAGCCACTCACTTAGAAAAAATTATTATTCGTACACCAATCTTTTTAATTTATCTTATCAACTGTCCGCTGTTACATATTTTTTTTGCTGCTGCTGTGTTTTTCGTAACAAGATCAATGATATCAAGTAGAATAAATAGGTAAGTGGAATGAAATGTGCCAGTGGGGTGATGTGAATGTTATTTTGGTTTGGTTTGGGAGTTTGAGGTTGTGTTGATGATTTTATAGTTTGTGGAAGAGTGTTTTGGAGTGGGTTGATATTGAGTTGAGGGTTTGGTGTCGTACGAGTAATTTGACATTATTTTTAAATGCATAATCAGATAACAATGAGTTACAAAGCTTTATATTGCCCCCCCCCCCCCCCTCTTCAGAGTAAAGAATAACCTCGTTGGGGGTTTAACACTGATGATATCCAATAATTTGGCAACCTTTATCAGCCATGACCCTTCTTAATCCCGACATAATATAGATAAGAGTGCTAAAAGCCTTCCCCTGCTATAAACCTACCCCTTCCTTCCACCAAAACACACACAAACTTACAATCACACCTTCCATAATAAATATCATAAGTGAATGACCTCTTATTGCTCCATATTCCCATAAAAATGCCATAAAGCACCACAACTTACCGAAATGCCTCCCAAACCATCACAAACATCCACTTCCACCCCCACTCACAGTCAATAAATTAAATCACATTAAAAAAACTCAAGCATTTTAAAAACGAAGGCAGACACAAAATATATACTTTTCACCCTAGCCTAGACAAGAGTTTTCAATTTTTTAATTGCTACTTTATGATAATGTCTATCATCATTATTTTCGAAACTTAATAACAGCTCTTACGGAATAGCTTTTAACATCTTTTTCGACGCGAACTTAAATTATTTTGGAATTGGAAATTAAAAATTCATATGACCTCGTCTGGAAAATTGCATTGCACTTCCTCCTTGTGTTTGATATTGTCTCACGTTGCAGCAGCAGCAGCAATAATCAGCAATGTTTTTTGTGAGAAGAAAATCAATAATCGGGCGTACGAATTCAACATGTGACCTCAATTCTGTACTTTTGCATTTTTCTTTCTCCCCTTTTTGTTTCTATTATGCTTATGATATAAGCCCGGCTGATGATAAGCTACTGTGTGAAATTGAGACTACCTAGCTAAGGTTTTAAGTCTTATCAGTTTTCACAAATATTTGTAAATCCGGTAACAAAAATAAAGGTAAATTGTTTATTCACGCTTCGTTTTCTAGACAAATAATAAGCTACACGATTTGCGATTGAGACGGGAAAACAGTTCGTTGTGGCTACTGGAACTAGTGATTCTTTTACTGAATTTGCTTCTTGTTTTCGGAGCGATTTGTTCGCTGTTGGTTTGAAATACACAAATTTTGTTCTAGAACATTCTTGATTTTTGAAGATTAAGGAACAAGTTAAGACGTAAACAATTATATGGATCAAATGATGTCCAATAAAATTACAGACCGCTTTCTTAAAGAACTTTGAATTCGACCCAACACACAACTTTTTGACAACATCCCAAAACTGACGAATGCCCTATTCTCTTCTGTGTCATTCTTAAAAATTCTCAAGTGCTTAATATTCCCAAGACGAAATCTTGTGTCATAAAAGATGCATATTCTCATTAAAGCAATGACTAATTGCGTACCACAGACACAAAAGATGCACAACAGACATTAAAGTCATTGACTCAGATTCATTCTCTTGATCAAGATTATAAATACTTTGTTGGTTGTTGGAACTAGCTTTAAAGGCCAATCTTACTCAGTTAAGCAGAATTTTGTGTGAAAATTGCAATTCTTTCCATTCCGACTTAGAAACTGCTTGAAAATACTTTGCAGATATGACTAAGGATCGCACTAAAAGCAAGTCTTATCAAAGATAACACAAAAAGTCGTGTACTTTGCTCGATAATTGCTGTATATTTTTTACAATCCCATGACCAATACTTTCATTATCTCTAAGTCAAGTCTCAAGCTCATCTAATTTCCATGACATTTTCGAAAAAAGTTCACGACTGTCACTTAAAGCATTATTAACGATAGGCTATTGAAATTAATTTGATAGGCATGAAATCAATCAAAAGCATGACACTTAAGTGTGCTTTATCGCAATAGATTGCAAAAATCGTGAATTACGTACGTAAATTGGAATTTTTATCTGATAAGTCAGGGTGCAAAATTCATAGGAAACTGATGTTACTGTCATTTTATGTTATGAATGTTATCGGAAGCTAGAAAGGTAGATTAGTCATAGAAGTGGTTAAAAAATGATCTTCAAATAATGCTTGAAGTCGACATGAATTTCTTATAAAGTTGCTGTAATTTGCCAGCTTTCACATTAATTTCTGGGACACAGGACGTGACAAGAAACTGCTGTCAAGTTCCCAAATCCGAGAATATTTCCATTGAGCTTACAGAAGGCTGTAATTCTTGCTGGATCTTTTTGAATTAAAACAATTGTTACAAATTCGTCCTAAACTGACAGAAAGTCATCTAAAAATGACTTCCAACATTAAGCTTTGAGAATTGACATAGCCTAGAACAGAGTTCAAGTCAGTTGAACTTCAATCTTTAGTCCAAATGTTATTAAAATTCTTCAATCAATCTTTTATGATAATTTTGTGACTAAAGACTCACTCCAAACATCAAAAATCCCTGTAACATCCTTTAAACCCCCTAAAATCCAATATCTTATAGACATCAACTGTAAATAACCCCAAAAGAAACTCAATTAGTACCGCACAATAAACACGCTTTAATTAACATCTGTTTAAACGTTTAAATGTCACGAAACAGTCCAAAACTTGTGCAAAATAGAGTGTCATCATGTTATAAGCCACAACATTATCTGTATTAGTTCATGCCACTATTTCACATACCACACAGCACAGGAGCTATAAAAACTTCATTGATTCTCAAAAAAATAAAGCAATAATCACGAGACAGTGAAACCACTAGTTGTAAGAGAAATACACAAAAATAGCTTACAAGTATAATATTTTGAGTGCCGTTCATGCCCGATATGGATAAATCGATTTAACTATTGTTAAACACGACAACATATCCAAAAACCCGAAAATAAATATCAATAATTAAATACATTGCAAAATAATATATGAGAGTGGCTGCTTGTGCATCAAGCATCCCTTAATTAATTATTTAAGACCACAGAGCATTAAAACTAGCTTATCATATGATTTAAATTAACGAAAACAGGAAAAACATGTTAATTATGAAACATATTTTTTTAAGCTACTCCACCAACATAATAATTTGTGTCTATATACAGCACCCATCCATTGCACGGTCGGCAACAACACACAAAACAAAAAAAATTTTAATTAATTCCATTTCAAATGTAAATTTGCTTTTCTTCTTTCTTCTCTTTTTTTTTTGTACTCTCAAGTCCTTGACTCACTGGTTTGTGAATTGTCTATGGACGTAAAAATTTATTCTTATTTCAAGGCGTGTAATTAAAATTGAATTGAGTGACTCTTGCGTCCATTGAAATGCGATATTAAACAATATAAAAATATTTTATCACAATTTAATTAAGAAAATTGCTCGTCGATGACTCAAATTTTTTTTTCTTTTCGTTCCTTCCTTCTTCTTCGCTCAACCGGAATTCTAATTTTTCTGCATTTTTTGGGCACTTTTTAAATCGCTAGCTTTTAAACTTCACTTTTATACATTAGATTATGATTGATACTAACCATTAGTTATAATTTAATTAAAGTTATCTTAAGACATATGAGGCTTATTGTAATTTCTTTTCGTGCTTTACAAAAAAGATCCGATAAAAAACACAACAATGATGACTGAATATCACGGTTCCGAAAAATAGCTACTTTCTGCGTATGGCATTTGTAGTGATTTAAAGGCAAATTCAGCCAGTGACATGCTGAAGGGCTAGGCACATAAAAACATATTGAACTTACTTGCTGATAAGAATAAACTGTAAATCCTTAATTAAATAGATTCTTTTATTGTTTAATAGGTTTTTCACATTCAATCTCGATCTAGAATAACTTTATATTCTCCAATGTACTTGTCAATCTCGTTGTCTAATGATAGAATATGGCCTGTATTACAGTTCTCTGTTCCGACAAATGTTATTATTAATGGAGATTTGTTTAGCTGAACAACCTGTAAAATACTCATTTTAATTGAATTCTAGACTATTTGGATGATTTGGATACTTACAGTTGTTGACTTGTACATCAATATGATTGATTTGTTCTGTCCGAGTAGCATTTTACTCGATTGATCTGTGGCAATTGTGAATGTCGCTAAGAACTGCTGTTTCGTGCCTAGCTCTGGAAACTTTCCATCCAAGGATAATTTTAGGATTGGAACTCCATCACGATCTGATATTATGATTGCTTTAAGGCCGTTGATTCTACGAGAAATTAATTGTTGTAAATTGTTATAAGAATTTTTATCAACTATAGAAAATATTTTGAAATTCAAATTTAAAAACAAACCAAAGTTTTTAAGAAATTTTAAATTCTACAAAACCGTTCAGTTTTTACAGATCATTTAAAAAGAAATGATTTGAATCAATTCTAGCATCAACATTCAATGAATTACAGCACAAAGACTTTTAAATAATGACTAATTGATTACAAAACAGCTGTTATCTTAAACAAACTGACTTTTTTGAAGTAAAACTCAGACAAAATTGAAAAACTCTAATTTCCCAAAAAATATTAAGTTACTCACTTTTGCAGCAATGAACTGAAGAACTTCTTGACCTCGTCGCTCATTTTTGATTACTATATAATGCTCAGAAACTTTAAAATTAAGCGAAAATTGAAATTTAATTTCTTTGTTATTGTTTTGAAAGTTCTGAAGGGATGGTAACTACGTCAGATTAAAATGCCTGTTTATGTCTAGTTCGCAACCCCTCAGAAAAAATTGCAAAAAATTGCAGTAACAAAAAACCTTAATTAAGCCGGAAATAGAAGGCTTGTATTAAATATGTCTGATGTAGATGATGATTTTATGTGCGAGGATGAAGAAGACTATGGATTGGTGAGTAAATAAATCGTAAATACATCAATAAACTTAATTAATGAAAATTGTGCTAAATTTAAGGAATATTCCGAAGATAGCAATTCGGAACCAGATGTGGACCTTGAAAATCAATATTATAATAGTAAGGCATTGAAAGAAGACTCACCGAAAGAAGCCTTATTGTCATTTCAAAAAGTTCTGGATCTTGAGAACGGCGAAAAAGGAGAATGGGGCTTTAAGGCTCTAAAACAAATGATTAAGATCAATTTTAAATTGGTAAGTATTAATTAAAGCTCTATAACACACCAGAATTGACTTAAACAGCTCAATAGTACTCCTTGAAACAGAATAATTATGCGGAAATGATGAATCGCTATAAGCAATTGTTGACATACATAAAGAGTGCTGTGACACGAAATCATTCGGAAAAGTCGATTAATTCGATTCTGGATTACATTTCTACATCCAAAAATATGGAACTGCTACAAGACTTTTATGAAACGACGCTTGATGCACTGCGAGATGCCAAAAATGATCGATTGTGGTTTAAAACCAACACAAAGCTTGGTAAACTATATTTTGATCGGAATGACTTTGTCAAGCTACAGAAGATTTTGAAGCAGCTGCATCAATCATGTCAAACGGATGATGGTGAAGATGATCTGAAAAAAGGAACACAATTATTGGAGATTTATGCTCTTGAAATTCAAATGTATACAGTTCAAAAGAACAATAAGAAGCTTAAAGCACTCTATGAGCAATCATTGCATATTAAATCTGCGATTCCACATCCTTTAATTATGGGTGTCATACGTGAATGTGGTGGCAAAATGCATCTTCGCGAGCAGGAATATGAAAAGGCTCATACAGACTTTTTTGAGGCATTCAAAAACTATGACGAGTCAGGATCGCCACGACGCACAACATGTCTTAAATATCTCGTTCTTGCTAACATGCTCATGAAGTCAGGAATCAATCCATTCGACTCACAAGAAGCTAAGCCATACAAAAATGATCCAGAAATTTTGGCAATGACCAATCTTGTTGTTAGCTATCAAAATGATGATATTATGGAGTTTGAGTCGATTCTACGCAATAACAGAAATAACATTATGGCAGATCCATTCATTCGTGAGCACATTGAAGATTTGTTGAGAAACATCAGAACACAAGTCTTAATTAAGCTTATTCGACCGTACACAAAAATCGCAATTCCTTTCATCAGCAATGAACTTAACATTGAGCCAGCAGAAGTCGAAAGTTTGCTCGTATCTTGCATTTTGGACAAGTAAGTTGACAATTTGTAGTCTGAAAAATAACGGTTGAATTATATTTGAAAACAGTCGTTAAATTTGAAAAATAACCGTTATAAATATCCTACAAACACTAATAGTTCCTCTATTTCCAGCACAATCCAAGGTCGCATTGATCAAGTCAATCAAGTTCTGGAACTAGAAAAGGAAGACAGTCGTCACGGCGCTCGAGATATAGCCATTGAGAAATGGTCAAATCAAATAAATTCAGTTCAACTTGCAATCTTGAACAAAATGTCATAAACTGTTGAGTAAGTCAGTTAAACATCTGTTCCATTTATTAAACGCTTTGTCCTAATGTTCTTCTCATAAAAAAACATGATTGAATAAAAAAAAAAAGATTAGAATCACGAGAAATTAAACTTATTTTTCACTTTCTGGAACCAATAAATTAACATTAGCCCTTGATGCACTTCCAACAAACATTTCTTCATCCCCACGAATACTAAGCTGCTCGCCAAGATAAGCAATACGTTCTGCAAGCATTCCAGTTCTTTTCCAATTCATAGAATTGCAATTTCTGCATGGATCTCGTGGAATCCTGAATAATGTGATGGTTCGCTTTTTACAGTCACTGCATTGATAGAATCGCTTTGTGGCATCAACTACTTTAAGCTCGTGTCGTTGTTCCTTACACATTTCACTCGCTGAGAAGTAGATGTATTTGCATTTCCTGCATATCACTGCTTTACACTGGAATTAAATAATATTTTTAAGACATGAACTACAGATATTGGATATAGTTTGACTTACCTTCATTTCCATCGTATTTGCCATTCGTTCCTCCATAGCTTCCTTCTTTTCAAGTCGATCCATACATTTTTGTTGCTTCTCTCGTTCCAGATTTTCAGCTAAGTCTCCATGTGCTGATTTAGCATTCATCATTCTGTTGATAAAGTCTTTCTTCTTCTGTGCCTCATCGTCCACAGCTAATTTTGCTTTTTTTGGATCATTTTCTAGTGACGTGTTGAGTTCGTCAGCAATTCTCTTTTTGCCAGCGTCAGTTCCTCTATATTTTATGAGATTTGGATTTGATGTCTCTAAAGGCTTCTTTTTAAGCACTTGAAGTGCTTTTTGCTTTGCTACGTCATTCTTAGTCTTCGGAACTGAAAATGAGAAAGTGAGATTCTCGCCAGACAGTTTAGGGACAAAGTTTGGATCCTTTTTTGGTTGTTCCTCAACTTTTGGAGATTGTTTAGGATACAAGCTTTGTTTCTCCTTTTCAAATTTAGGGGTCAACAATAATTGCGGTGAATCTGTTCCTTGCAACATCTTTAATCGTTCAATGTCCTTTTTTCTTTGAGAACCAGTTAAATCAAGTGATGCTGCACGTTTTACAGCCATAGCTGCTGGTGAATCACTTTGCATGCCATTTGGAGCATGACTCATTTGTCTAGCATGAATTGTTCCTGATGTGATTGGTGCCTCACTATTATAAGGAACTGAATAATATTCTGACAATGTTGTCAGCCTGTCTTTATCTTTAAGCATTTGTTTGACTGGCTTTTTAGCTTTTTGTGCTTGAAAAGACTGTCCAGCATAGAAAACTTCACTTTTTCCCAAAACTTTGTTTCTTAAGTCTTGTAAGCCACGACCAAGTCCATCAGATTGAAGCTCGGATCTTTTAAACTTTCCGTATTCCTTTTTCATGTGGAATATGCAGACATCACAGTCAGATTTATTAACTATTGCACCACAAATATCTCCATTATTCTTCTTAGACTTGCAATGTCCTAAATCCTTTGACTGTCCTAAAATCATCACTGCTTTATTGTCAGATACTGACAAGACAGCCTCAACTTTATCATCTTTTCGTTCAAGTATCTGCGGATTAAGAATGGCAATAACAGTTCCTAAGTTATTTTTCCACAATTCTCTATGTGCTGCTCGAAACAGGAACAACGTGACCAACTTAATTTCACCACGAAGATCAGAAATCGTCCAAATTGAGAACTGATCACCTTTTTGCGTTGTTTTTACTGGTGCTTTGCCAACAATTACACCAGCTAATACCCAATCTTGTGATCTATCTCCCCGTTCTGTATGGAATCTAGCTCTTTGAACGCCAACTGGCATTTTACCTGTCATTCGTTCCTTCATGACTATACTTGAAATTGCTGGATTAATGATTTTAATACCGAATATTGGATCACAGAAGACTGTTTCCTTGCTTGTTAATCCATTAGTAGGTGTACTATTTGAAATTGGTCTAGTAAGTGATAAGGATGTTGCTGGAAGTGACGGCTGTAAACTTTTAAACATTCCATTCGCTGGCGATTCATTTGTCATTTTAATTGAATTAAACTTTTTCACTTCTTCTGCTTCCTTCAACTTCTTGTTGATGTCACGTCCATAATCATTATATTTACTGTACAATTCCTTATTTTCTTCTTCGTCTGAACTGTCATCCAAATATGTGTTTTTCTGTGGTCTAACGAGTGATTCTCTGCATTCTTTTGGTTTGCTCTTTTGCTCCCCTGCTTCTTCAGCTAAGAGCATTTGTTCCAGTAACTCTATATCCTCTTCTTCAGCCATAATTAATTAAATTTTACTTTTTGTGAATTCGCGCCAATGAATGTTGAAATTGACAGTTGAGTTAAAATTTGAATTGAGTCGATATGTTTTTAAATTTGATTTTGAGATGATCGTTAATTTTGTCTCGAATTTTATCTTAGTTTCAAGCCCTCTTTGTTTACATTTTTTGGAAAATTATTTTGCCGATTAATAAATCATTAATTAAGCTATTTTAAAAGGTTTTATTAGTATTTAAGGAATTTTAAAAGTGAAATTACAGCCTCAAGTTCATAATTCAATTGAAGTCAATAAAAATTCAGTCAAAATAAGAAGCTTTTTATGGATTGAAGATTACGAGGAAAATAATGAATAAGAAATTCATTTAATCAAAGAAATTATAGACAATAACGACTAATAGAAGCTAATTAGAAGTTAATCAATATGTTGCAAGTCGTAAAAATTCGCAGTTCAATCAAATTATTCCCAATCGTTCTTCAAAATGGACGAGATTCTGTAAGTTTGTCAATAATTTGCAGTTGCGTATTAAAACTAATATTTACATCCATTCCGATTACAGTTTAACAAGCATCAAGGCATTCGCAACTTTTCTATGCTAATTGAACGAACAGAAATAGGGTCAAAAACATGCTATATTCATAATATCCAGCGAATCTCGACATCATCATCGAAAGACATCCACGACAAGTGGCTTAATAAGCAGGAAAAGATTTTGGAAATAAAGACAAAAGGTGGCAATTTAGTTATTCGCACAACTGTTACAGACGGTGGTAAAAATGTTGAAAACATTGTCATTCAAAAAGATAAGCCATCCGAGCTTCAAATGGCAGTAAAGGAACCACCGATTATCGTTACAGCTTCTAGTGATAGTAAAAATTTAGAGGTCAAACCGCAATTAACAGAAAAAGAGCTTTTAGCTGAAAAGAATAAGGAATTAGCGAAGAAAAGGAAGCGAGTAGATTTTGCTTTGTCATCTTTAGAACGAAACTTTATAACACCGAATCGTGCAATGTCTGATTTTCTTCTTAAGGCGTCTGATTTAGAGACACTTCCAAAAACAAAAAGAAGATCCCCATATGAACAAGAAATGCCAATTACTGTATATTGGAGAAAGGATGTAGAGACAAAAGCTATTGAAACTTGGGGATCACGTGAGAATTTACTTAAAGAATGCCTTAAAAGGGAATTGGAGAAAAAGCAGCATCAACAAAATGCATTTACAATGAAGAGGCGATTAAGAGACTATAGACGAGAAATGGGGGCACGAACAAACGTCCATGAAAGTGAAATTATGGGCTTAAAAGGAAGCTCTGGAAGAGTCGTACTTACTGCTGTTGCTATCAATGCTACAAACTTTCTGTTTAAGAGCTTTGCGTGGTTCTACACAGGTATGACTGACTTATTCAACTGGATTTAATTTTAATCAAGCTCTTAATCCTAAGAATTTAAATTAAAATCCCGAGATTTATTTTTAATCCTAAGATTTATTTTTTAATCCATACAAACAGGTTCGCACAGCATGTTCGCCGAGTGCATCCATTCATTAGCTGACACAATAAATCAATTGATTCTTGTCTATGGTATCCATAAATCAACACAAATTGCGAATCCCGATCATCCTTACGGATACAGCAATATGAGATATGTCTCATCCTTAATTTCTGGCGTGGGTATATTCTGCGTTGGAACCGGATTGTCATTTTATCATGGAATTACAGGACTTTTAAATCCAACGCCAATTGAGGACTTTTATTGGGCATTTTTCATTCTTGGAGGCTCTCTTGTCAGCGAAGGTGCTACATTACTTGTTGCTATAAACAGCATTCGTGAAGGTGCTAAAAAAATGGGAACGTCTTTCCATGACTATGGTTAGTAATATTCTTATTGGTCACTGGATGTTAATTTAAAGAGTAAATTGTGGATTATTAGACATAGACAGCGATGTGTGTAAATATTTATGTCTTTAGACAAACTGCATGTTCAATAGCTTCTCATATTGCTCATTTCTTCAATATTTATACATCCATTTAACTTTCAATCTCAAATATTTACAGTCGTCAACTCATGTGATCCATCTGTCAATGTTGTCTTAACGGAAGATGCAGCAGCGGTTTTATCTGTTGGTGTTACAGCTGCTTGTATGGGTTTATCAACAGTAACCGGTTCTCACGTGCCTGACGCTGTCGGATCATTATTAGTAGGATGTATTCTTGGTGCTGTGGCTTCTTTTATTATTTATACAAATGTTGCTGCACTTATGGGTCGATCAATCACCGAAGAACGTCTCGACAAGATTAATACTGAACTTGAAAGTGACATCATGATAAGAGCAATTTATGATGTTAAGGGTATTGATATGGGAAATACTTTAGTGCGTTATAAAGCTGAATTGGACTTTGATGGACGAGAATTGTCAAAAGTTTATCTTGATAAGCAGGATTTGAATGTGCTGTTGGATGTAAGTTGTCATTATTAGTTACGTCATTTATTTTGGGGGTTTTGGATTCTTCTTGATTACTTTTATGATCAATTTTTGATACCAAGATGCTAAGTAGGTCCAAAAATCCCAAAACTTGATAAACGTCTTAAGCAAACGACCCCAAAAGCTATAGAACAAATAACTTTATTATTTGCAGGAAGTAAAAACGTTTCAAACAATTGACGAACTGGAAGCCTTTTTATTGAAGCACGGCGAGAACATTGTTGATCTTATGGGAGGAGAAATTGATAGAATTGAGATGAAATTAAGGGTGAGTTGAAGATGTTTGTCTTTTTATCCTCTATTAAATGTTCCTTTATTTCTTTGTGTCAACAGAAAAAATGTCCAGAAATCAGGCACTGTGATCTTGAAATTTTATAAGAATTGAAAATGTCAACCGAGATGCTTCAAATACCTAAAATATAAGATTAAATTATGATGTTCGTATGTTCATGCTTGATACTCAAAAAACAAAGTTGTTATGGCCTAGTTGATGACAAAATTATGACCTCGATTGCTTCTATAGCTGAATTTTTAATGTAATTAAACTTTTTTCTCCTTACGAGCAGATTTTTTCCTTCTGTGATTTAATGAATGAGATGGAAATTGCTTGTTTGAATGTATTATTGGAATTATTCGATACGTACTTGATGAGGCATGAGATTTCTATAATGCGTCCAAAAAAGTGAAAATCTACTTATAATAAAGGTACAGCAAAGTTAAATAAAATATGAAAAGCATTTCGTAATGAATAAAATTATGCAATATATATGAGTTTCGCATGGAGATGACCGTTTTCAATAACAGCACTTAATATTTCAGATTACTAGCCGATGTGGCTTGTCAACTTTTGTAACGGTTTTTTAAAAATTGAATTTAACAGTAGTTTTTGAAATTTTGAATTTATTTTAAGAGGTAAAGAAATTAATTGTGAAAATTAAGTGTTAAACAGGCACTTCTAGTATTTAAAGACATGCCTAAAGGTAAGTAAACTCAAGAACTTTCATTCAATCATCAACGCTACTCAAAATACATTAATATTGCACAGCAAACAAGCGTAAACATGATCCAGAAAAGAATGTCAACAATAAGCGTACAAAAACTGAAAAAACATCCAGTAAGCCTGAAATAGGCATAAATGAAATGCCAAATGAGATGTTGCTGAACATATTTGCGTATCTTGATCAAAAAGATATTCTAAGTGCAACTTTAGTTAAGAAAAAATGGAACAATCTGATCTCGAATACAGAAAACACAATGAAAAAGATCCAGACGATCTACATCGATCCAGACAATATGATTTCAGGAATTCCTAAGTTTACACGTCCATATGCAAGAATTGAGGTCGAAAATCTAAAACTTGAATGTGATTTGGATCTTTTGAATCGTTTGAGAAAAATTGGCGATGGAATTGAATTTGTCTTATTCAGTCATTGCTGGCTTTTAGGAAATGCTATGACTAGCTTCCTCAGATGTTTCAAGAATGTTGAAGATTTGCATATTACGCATTGTGAAATAACTAGTGTTCCAGTCCAACGTAAAATTATATTGAGGGAACTTAAGCTGCTTCACATTGATGGTAAGTAGGCATGAAATATCATTTAAATTAGTTCTATTAATTTTTCTCATTGAATCTAGTTGGTACGTGGCCATTATCATTCCTTGAAACTCCAAAGCTAATTACTTTCCAATGCCACTCCGTGATAGCCGAAGATCAAATGCGTATCAACAAATTCTTAAATAAACAAACAAAACTGGAAGTTCTGGATCTTAACTGTATCTTCAATTTATTCCATTCAAGTTCCGATCCTTTGGATCCAAAGTTTAAATTAAAGACTTTAAAGCTCACTGATTTGGTTAATTACGAAAATGACCAAATGATGAACTTGCTAAGCTCAGTAACGGAAAGTTTGACATCAATAGAAATTGGATTCGAAATGGGACGTGATACCACAAAATATGCTTTGCAAAACTTCATCAATTTGGAGTCGATGACAATTGATTGCGATACTTTACCTAATTCACCAAACTTTTATAATGACATAAAGACCAGTCAGACCTTAAAGAGAGTCCAAATTAGCGGTGAATTGGAAAAAACTATGCCAATAGTTCTGTTCCTTGATCATCATCCACAAATTGAATATTTGGACATATGCTCACTGTTTAATATACCTTCAACTAGGCACTCATTTTGGAGCAGATTTGCAGGAATTACAAAAAATGTTGCGTCCTTGAAGATTGATACTATAGATGCTGACAATATATTCCATATCAAGAGCAAGAATTTAAAGGATCTAAAAATCTATTTGCTGGAATTCATCGACAATCTGAATTGGATAGAATTTTGCAGCAACAATCCGAACATTGAACGACTCCATGTTTATGACAAAAATGAATCATTTAATATTAATGATGTTAAAGTTGTTCTTAAAGAACATTTACCTAAATTGAAACATTTTTATTTTGATATTTCCCCAACTAGTTTAGAGCATTCGATCAATATGCCTTAATTATACTTTATTTTGTAAAGTATTACGATTATATTAGTCATTTAAATGTTTAAGTAAGCCAAAGATAATGATTCAGTCATTTAAAGGTTCTAGGTTTAAGATTTTTGAGTCTATCCTCAAAATATTGGTTTTTGAGGATTTGACTGCTTTGCTTCTTCTTATAATACTCAATATAATGCTTAATAAATTTCGACAAACTAAAGAGATAAGGAAATAGATAATTAAAGGATTACTTAGCATTTTTGATGGACGGATTTGGATTGAAAGTCTTAAGTACACTACTAGGATGCTAAGACATAATTAAACGTGTCAGAAGCAATCCTGTCCTTTTTGAACCTATACAACTGATTGTTCTGGTCCTTTTCAACAAATCTCAAAGATCACAGTTTTAATCCCCAACATACCAAACTACACATCAAAAACTAAAATCTCCAATTAGCACATCCAACTGATCATCTCAGGCACATCAACATTGATAATTATACATACTTAACCATAAATAATTCATAAAGGCTCACGCCAACGTTCACGTTTCACTTTCAAATCGGCAGACATAAAGCATTTAACGAACGAGAAGAAAAGAAGCAGGAAAAAAGGTCTTCAATTGAAAACTGTGACAAAATTCTTTTCAAATCCAATTAGCATAAATTGACAAATTTGAATTCTTTAACAAACATTCAATTTGAAATGAATGAAGCTGAAAATTACGAGTTTTATCCAAAATATCGCGTAATGCGTGCTCATATCAAGAGTTTAAAAAAAGTAATCATGATTATGGTGAATTTCTCTTATGCCGGTTTATTTTTTGGTTTGCATAAAAAGTTGAAAAACTTGTTTACAAAGGGCTGGTTGCGCTTCGCTTGAGGCTATTAATCAAAACTCAAATTCGCAATTTTTTAAGTCAGTCGAAAGTATGTGGGCTCTTATCAATAATGGACTAGAATTATGCACTATTGTTGACTTACTAGTGCGAGGTGGGTTGAATTGGATATTTTTGGCAAAACTATAACTTTGACCAAGTTAAACCTAATTCCTACATTCATTGTAAAGACCTGTCAATTAGCTAAAACCTCTCCCATCTCTAATTTCCCTTAGAGCTAGTAGCTGCTCAACCTTTCAATCACATAACTTCCATTACTAATCTAATTACTTCAAATGCGTTACATCACTGACCCACGCCAAAAGTTGATCATTAAACTTGATTGTGTATATTGATTATGAAGCATGAAGCGCAAAAAAGGCGGTAATGTACGAACATTCACAATAATAATCTTTAACTCTGTTTACTACTCGGTTAGTCAGTTGTAAAATTTTTCGGGAGCACGTTGGAAGTGCGTAGAGCTAGTGATTTTTGTTAAATAAATTGAGAGAAATTAAAAATTGTGTCATCAGTGAGTCGTATTGCTGTTTCTAAGAAAGCCTTGATAAAATAAAGTAATACTTTTGCTGTTAAATCTGTAGATAAAGCAGATTAGAGGTCGTTCATAAATGATGTCTATTTTATAGAGGGGGTCTGGAGCAGTCTGGAGCTTTGTTAACTTGAGAAGAGGTTCAAAAATTCTTATTTTTGATTGACGTCATTTATGAACGACCTGTAATCAGCATTAGATCATCTTAAGCATACCCTGTTTTTTCGTTATAAGCTACTACTCGTTACTAAGCTACTAGCTTAGTAAAGTTTTTTGAACTTGAAAATTTTTTGTAATCTTTACTAAGCTACTACCAAAAATATAGTTTAATTAATTTTTTTCAACTTTTTAAGTATCAGTTTCAATGTCTTATGACATTGTCAATGAAATAAAATCGGGAAGATAGCAAAATTTCTTTAATTAAGTTAAAAAATTCAAAATTTTAATTGAAGTTCAATTTCTTTACTAAGCTACTACTCGTTACTAAGCTACTAGTGATCCAAAAAAATCACTTTTTTATTCTTCTAAGCTACTAGCTTATAACGAAAAAACAGGGTACATGGACTTGCGGCAAATCTAACTTTTTAGCCGTCAGAGCCCTTATACCAGTGCCTTGATTACTACTTTGTGTTGCTCTGGTCATATTTTAAGTCAAGTCTTACGACATAAGATGCTCAGATTGTTCATCCTTTCTACCTTAATTCTGAAACAGGTTTTGAGTAAAAAGTATCAAATTTCTGGATCCTTTTTCATCAGACATAACTTGATATAACAATTCTATGCTATATAGAACCCAAAATGAAATTGAATAGCATTCAGTATTGATTCAAAGCTAGTAACAGATGCACAAATTCTTAAAAATACTGTAAAAAGTGAAGTTTCTGCCATTATCATTAACGAATTAATTATTTCAAGCCACAAGTGAACTTAATGTTTAGACATATTTGAGTGACTTATCAATGCAAATGAACATATTTTAATCAGTATAAAGCGCTTAAATTCCTGTGGATTGCTTTTAGTCGTTAAAAATGTTTCGAGTCGATAAGAAATTTTGTGAGTTTGTTCTACAAATTATAATTTAATTATTTGCATATAATGTTAACATCTGCTTACAGTTGTGTTCCTAATAATTTGTAATTTAACACTCGCACATGAGAACGAGGAATTTGAATATGATGAAATTGAAGAAGAACCGTCATCAAATCGACCGAATATCATATTCATTCTAGCTGATGATTTAGGATTTAATGATGTTAGCTTTCATGGAAGTTCACAGATTTTTACACCAAATATTGATGCGCTAGCATTCTCGGGTGTTATATTGAATCGATATTATGTAAATCCCATTTGTACGCCATCAAGATCGGCCTTAATGACCGGAAAATATCCAATACACACGGGCATGCAACATACAGTTTTATTTGGCGCAGAGCCTCGTGGATTACCATTAAATGAAAAGCTCTTACCAGAATATTTGAAGCCTCTCGGGTATGTGATTTAATTCCGTGCATAAATTATATCTCCTGCCATGTGCTATATTATTTATTAGATATTCGAATCACATTGTGGGGAAGTGGCATCTCGGAAGTTATAAAAAAGTTTACTTGCCATTAATGCGTGGGTTTGAATCTCACGTGGGCTGTTGGACAGGGCATCATGATTATTTCGACCATACAGCAGAGGAGACTGGAATGTGGGGATTAGATATAAGACGTGGATATGATGTCGCTTATGACTTGCATGGAAAATATACAACAGACGTGATTACAGATGAGTCTGTGAAAATTATCAACAGTCATAATGCGAGTCAACCTTTGTTCCTTTATATTGCCCACACAGCTGTTCATTCATCGAATCCATACAGTCCATTGCCGGCGCCAGATGATACAGTCGCGAAAATTAAAAATATTGAAGATTATAAACGAAGGAAATTTGCCGCAATTGTACATCATTTAGATGAATCTGTTGGTGCTGTTGTAAAGTCATTGGCTGATAAAAATATGCTGCATAATTCAATCATTATTTTCTCGTCTGATAATGGAGGTCCAGCAGAAAATTTTAATCTAAATGCTGCCTCTAATTATCCATTACGTGGTGTTAAAAATACATTATGGGAAGGTGTGTAAATTACATGACTGCATGTATATCCTAAATATTCCTAAATTTGCATTCATAATAATCAGGTGGAGTTCGAGCAGCTGGATTTATTTGGTCTCCTTTAATCTCACAACATTCAAGAGTGTCAAATCAATTAATTCAAGTTGCTGACTGGCTGCCAACATTATATAGTGCTGCCGGTGGAGATTTATCAACGATTACAACAAAACTTGATGGCATTGACCTCTGGGATGAACTCAGTCAACAAACAACAGCTGATTCAAAAAGAAAAGAAGTGCTTCATAATATTGATAATATTTGGGGAAGTTCTGCTGTGATGGTGAATGAATGGAAATTGATTGTAGGCACAAATTATAATGGTCAATGGGATTCATGGTATGGACCTGCTGGAAATAGAGATCCATTATCATATCCTGTTAAAGATTTGTTGACTTGTAAAGCGGGACGAGCACTCGAGCGAATAAGCATGATGCCAAAGCCTGACGACATCTTGTAAGTTTATGAATTGATTAGAATTTAAGCCATCCTCGTTATTGTCCTCCAATTTACACAAGATATAGATCCTTTTTTTGGGATTCTATTCTGCTCCGGTCGACAATTTTTCCACTCAATTTTAGGGACATCTTCTATTATCTCCTTTTTCCTCTATTTCAATATCTAGAAAATTACGCAGTGAAGCTACAATTTCATGCACCAATGATCCACCCAAAGAATGTAATCCACTCAAGACTCCATGCCTATATAATGTAGTAAAAGATCCTTGTGAGAAAAATAATCTCTTTGAAGTATATCCGAATATCGCAAAGGCATTGCTGGTGAGATTGCAAGATTTTAATGCGTCAGCTTTGCCACCAGGTAATCTAGCTATTGATGAGAGAGGAAATCCAAAGCACTTTAGTTATGTATGGACAAACTTTGGAGATTACATATGATGAGTATGTATGGACAAACTTTGGAGATTACATATGATGAGTAATCTATAATTTAAGTTATTTAAATGTTAGAAGTTATCTATTAAACGTAAAATTCATCAAAACTCAATTTGTTGGGTTTACAATGTGTCATAATATATTTCTCATAACAAAACAAAATGTAATCTATATGTCAAATATGTTCATCAGACAAGAGACTCTATTGAGAGAATGAGATACAGCATTATTTATTGCTATTATTTTGGTAACGCTCTCATGAACTCTTAAACTGCAAACACATCAACACACAGAAAAATAAGCTATAAACTCCCATAACAAGTTAGTGCGCTGATCAGTTCGCTCTTTGACATCAAGTCGTTTAAACGTAAGCGTCTAGGCAATTAAAATATATATTTAAAAAAATTTTGTGAATAAAAATTAGTAAATTATCAGGATGAACAAGTCAGTTTTGTTTTGTGCATTTGTGATGTTAATTGCTGCAGCAACAGCACAGTGGAATGGACAACCTGGATATCCACCATTCCCACAACCACCTAATATTAATGACTTGTGTAATCGACCTGGAGCAAATTGCAACGTTCAAAGTCGTTTTGCTGAGGAATCGTCTTACACCGATCATCGTGGAAATTCTCAAAAGTTTTCGAGAGTTTGTGATGATAAGGGATGTTATGAACGCAAATTGACAAACGATTCATCCTCAATGTCAGTCAGCTTTATTCTGATTTCAACAGCAGCCATAATTGCCGTAATGAAGAGTTTGATTCACTAGAGTTTGGTAGCTAGACAATGCCAATAGTTTCTAATATAAAATAAGACAAAAGAACAAAAGTTAATGTCATATGTGCATAATAAACCTCACCATTGTTTTCGTCATGTTAAATATAAATATGCTTATCAATGTTGCCTCATAATTTTGGACGAAGAAGAAGGAAATGTAAACAATAATCTGCATCACAAATTATTATTTTTCGACCTTCAAACTGTAACACGAGTAGCAACGTGTTAAGAAGAAAAGCAAACATTCTTCAAATGTATGTAATTGCTGTTTTGTTTTTGTATAATTGTAAATTAAGATAGATGCGGCTAGTTAACATAAATATATGAAGTAATATTAACGAGTTCCAGGAATAAATGAAAAAGTTTATTGTTTCTTTAAGTGATCTAAATGGATGAATCATTGTTACGGTTTAAAAGTTTTGTAGTGGATAAGATCAGATAAATAGGACGTTTCAAAGTTGAATTAATTGTTCTTACGGGAATTTAAGTTTTGAATTTCGATTGATTTTGAATTAAGAGTTCATTTTTTAAGTTTAAAGTTGGGAGAGTCAAATGATTGCAATTATAGAATCACCAAGTAGCATTCTAAAGATGTCAATCTTTTCAGAAGAATATAAAGTAACGAGAGAATAATATACTAGAAACCAAAGAATATAAAGTTTTAAACAATTTAAAAGTGATTTTTAAATCAACATTCAAGGATCTAAACTATAAATGAAATTCAAATTGTTTTTTTCTGGATCTTTTAATCATTAGAAGTTTAAGCCTTCAAACTTCAATCCTGATTTCCAGTTCATGAAATTTTTTTAAAACATTCTGATGAATAATTAGATGTTACTGAATCTACTAGTTAATACTATAAATGTCATGTCTAAGAACATAATGATATCTCAAAGAATAACAAAAAACTTAATCGATCTGTCCTTTCTGACCTTGTAAAAGCAATATTTTCCCATAATATAATACTTTATTGTAAGCTTGTAAAATCATTAATATTTGAATTATAAAATAGATAAGGTTTGATTTATAATTACGTTGTAGGAATATATGGATGAAAATTGATGATCTAAGGCAGTTGTTGACTGTTCAATCTAATTTTTCGTGAATGTGTATATTCCTGATTGAGACATGTTTTCATGGATAAGCTAGGTACTGTTTGCAATCATTGTTATGTCTTCTACCTAGAAAGCTACCTAGCCAACATCATACAATCTCTTAAAAATAAGGACTGTTCAGGTAGATGGCAATCCAATCTTAAAATTTATACATTTTTAAATTATCAAACGTTAAGATATGAAGGCTTAATAAAGATGAGCTTGTGATTTAGAAAAATTGATCGTCAAAACTCGTGTAAACCTACAATTTGAAATCACAATTATTCAAGAAAATTACAATGAAATAACTTAACCGCAAAACTAATGTAACAAAAAATTCATCCACAAAGGTGACCTAAGCAGATCACTTACATGTAAAAAAAATATTTCTTTTTATTATTAAGTTATTACTAATCTTTTATTTTTTTCTACCAACATATTATCATTTAATACGATTTACCTCTTTGTAAATTACTGTAATAAAATTGTTCTTGAAAATAAAATAAAGTTCCACCATGATTTATTAATTTCATGATTAAGTGGAAACGAAACGAAAGAAAACAAACTGAATACAAAAATTTATCAATTTTTATTTGACTTTTTACAATGATTATCAAGCGACCTTTTCGCTTCAGTTTAATGAAAACAGTCGGACTTGGGGATTTTTTGTTTCTTGGACGATATTTTGTTGTTGTTCCTACACTTCATCATCATCTCATAAATTACGAATTTCCCAAATGTTTTTTAGATGACAATTTTATTCAAAACTCGTGGTCTCATTTAGAAGCTTTGGTAATAATTTGCGAAAAACATAACAGAACTTTTATTATTTCGGAAGTGACAATTTCAACACCATTTGACAGCGAGAGAATTAATTTCTGTGCATAATTTGGTAGATTTTGCGATGCATCAATTCATATGCTAGTCAAACTATTGTTGTGAGTCAGGAATAATTGTTTGCATGTGAAATAATATCACTAGAAGTTGAAAATTAAGCTAGATAAGCATTTTAAATGATTAGTAAATGCATGAGAATTAAGCAACACAAAACTTTGCATCGTGACTTTTAAGACTAATGGAAAAGTGTACAGATGTCAAAGTCATCCTTCAAATGTGGTTAGGAGAATCAATTGAACGATAAACCAAAGAATCAACTTAGATTTGGTCATTTTGATGAGTTCCAAACCCTTGAAATCTAGCTTATTAGCTTCTTTAAATCTCATTAAACCGAAAGGGCAAATAATCTAGTCAGGTTTCTAGTTTGCGCCAAATTAGGACTGCTACGGAGCACATCCAAGTAATGTTCACATTTGTTCAACCTTGAATTACTCCACAGAATGATCTCAATCAAATCCAACAATCATAATCAAGCCATACTCCGAAAATTGCTGATTAACTGCATACAAATTATAAATTCCTGCTAAATTTCCTTGTCCAATATCAACAACCCTACAAGCTCAAAATTTGTGTCGCAAAAGCATGTCATAAAATATTAAAATCCATTTTTAGCTGCTTAATGATTCCTCATGCAAATGAATCACATTGTAAGTTTGACAATCGTCAGAGTAAACAATATTTAAGTAAGTACACAATATGTATGAGATGTGCTGCAACCGCTATGAATGACATAAAGTTTGAACATGATTGCAACATAAAATTGTCGATAACAAAAACCTTTTGTTTCAGATCCCACAACGACTAGTTTAGCATTATTATAAAGTTTTATGCAAAAATCATATTCATAAAATTTATTTGTGGCTAGTGCGAGCGACACAAAACCTTTAATGGTGTTCCAATGTCTATAAGAGGAAACGACCTGCCCTAATAATGTAAATACAAACTGTATTATCACAAAAGTATACAATGTGACTCACCAACATTCAGATCAACATGCGCTTCAACTTAAGTACAGCGCTCGAAAAAGAAATCGAAGAAAAAAGAGCAAAAAAGAGAAATTGAGAGAATTTTTGGAGCTGAATAATGTAATTAAAATGTATTTACATTCATTTTGACTGGTTTTTTCTAGATTGACTGGAAATGGAATTTGAGAATTTGATGTTGATGAGGTTAAGTGGCGATTTTGGATTACATGGAGGCGACAAATTGAGTCAAAATTAAGTATCACATTTTAAAAAAATAAATAGACAAATTAGTATTTCATAAATTTTAAAAATTCAAAAGGGATTCGAAACCACAATCTCACAGTTGAGCAGATCGCAAAACTAAAGTTTGCTGCCCAAAACTTACTAGGTTTTCCAAACTATGATTTTTAATGGCGGAATTGATTACATATTGTTCAGTACTAGAATCCATTTTCTTTGTAGTTTTACTCATCAATATTCGAAAGCTTCATTGAATGCCTCCAATATACTCTAGATTGCAATTGAATCCATCAACTTAATGAAACTCTTCCACATAAAACTTAAATGTATAAATTTAACAATCCATTGTAGATCATTCCGGAAGACTCTACAAGAATATCATGAATCTTAATGCGCTTTAACCTATAATTACCTCAACATCCCATTTTCAACTCTTTTTCATTTAACAATAAACATCAAAATAAATTATTTTTTATTTTCATTCAACGCTAGAGTTCTGAGTTAGTCGTACGTGCAAACAAGCTGATCTCATTTAGTTCTTGTGATAAAATTTAAATAATAATAATAAAGTTTTAAAAAAAAGACAGAAGAAAATATGAAAGCTTCAGCATTATTCATTGTGGTTTTGTCTCTGGTGGTAACAGTGGTTATAGCACAATGGAATGGAAACAACAATGGACAACAGCAATTCCCAAATTTTCCACAACCACCAAACTTCAATGATCTTTGCAGTCGGCCTGGTGCAAATTGTGTACAGCAGACTTGTGACTCGAATGGGAATTGTCATACCACACAAAGTGGTGCTGTTAGTGTGACCGGTACTTATACTACAATTTTGATGACTTGCGGTGCTCTTATGGCAGTGATGTGGAGACGATTTTGAATGGAATCAATCGATTGACAAAAAGCTTTTTATTATTTATTTAATTGTTTTAAATCGCATGTAGATCTATAATTCAAGTGACGTTATTAGCGCTACTTTTTGTGAATTGACTAATAAAATTAGTATTCTCGTGACGTAAATTTGTGTTTTCTTTTTGAGAAAGTTAATTATGTTATTACTATTTACAGCTAGGTTTGTAATTATTGCTGAACATTTTGGAATTCTTTGTGAATTATTTGAATATTTCGCAACTTAGTGATAAAGTTTTCTACAGATATTCATCATGAATGATTGCTCATCAGATTGTGTTTGATGCGGTAGATATTGCATCACTCAAGTTCATTGTCATAAAACAGCATCAAAAGCAAAACAACTGCAGAACAATTGTAAACATCATAAAACAAATCACCTTAAAAATTCACAATAAAATATTCATATTTGCTTCATTTATCTCCTAAAATATTCAGCATCAAAGATATTTCATTTATTATGCTAAAAAGTAATGAATATCCAAGATATTGTATGAAAAAAATATATTTTGTTGCAATGTTTGGATAAAAAATTCATACATTTAGTGGTATTGTTGTTTCTTTGTTTATTTAAGTTTGATGTCTTGAGAATATGCGTATTATGAATCTGTGATGCGGAAAGGAAAGGAAATTTATGCAACCAGCAATACAGTGCTGAGATTTTTTATGGTCATTGACGTTAACATTAAGTTTGTTTTGGATTTGAATTAGATTTCATAGTTTTTTGAAGAGTTTGAGTTGTATTTGGATTGGATTACGTTAATTGGATCTGATATAATTCTTAAAGTAACGATTTTAGGTTTTTTATGATCAACGCAGATTTTAAACAAATTTATTTTATGATCTTTAAATTTCTGGTTCAGAAATAAGATTGATCTTCAATTCATTCAGATTTTGCAAGCCAAAGTGCTTCGAAAAAGAAGTAATTCAGTTTTTGGAATTTATTAAATGAGTCTCCAGAGGAAATTTTCATTATTTCGCAATAAAAATAGATAGATAACCTTTATAGACTTTGGAAAGATTGTCCAAGGCAAATACAAAAAGCCTAATCATATTCATGCAAATTTTCTATTTTCTAATGACGCACATTATTTCAAATGATGAAATTTCTCCTTTCTACTGGCATCTATCAAATAATGCTCTAATTATTCCTATATCACAATAAATAAGTTATACGGGGATTTACTCATATTGTTTATCACTAAAGTAGTCACGCAAATAAGCTGAAATAGCAGTAAACTACATTAAAGCTTAGAACAAATAACAATTAATTTCATTTAATAATAGATTCATAAATTTTCTTTTTTATTCTTCTCGTTTTTCATTCAAAATAACTGAAAGATAACAACAGTATTTACTTAAATATAGTTCGCATTTAAACTTAATCAACTGATATTGAATCAAAAGTGAAACCTTTTTCAACTAACGTCATTCAAAAGGCTTATTAAATTAATCAACAAGAAAATTCATAAGATGATAAATTATTGGCAATAAAATTTATAATTCATAAAGAAATCGTTTGGAATTTGAAGACATCGAGAGCTTTTGAAATATTCACAAAATTCAATTTTACATATTAGGAATTTTCAATTTTTCATCTCATTCAGCTGTTTGGGTTTCATGATTATTCATTAATATTTAATGAAGAGATTTAAAGCTTTATATTTTAAAGGTGTCATTAACATTACGTCCTTTTCGTTTTTCTCATTCCATTAATATGTTAAATTAATTGTAATTATGTACAGTTACTTTTATCATTTAAAGGGCGATTTGAATTTATAATTTGAATTAAATCGTGAAATTTGGAGCAGATCGGAAATGTTCATTTGCCATTTAATAACCCAGTGTAATTGGTTTTTAGTTTTGAGAGAATTTAAATGTCATGGAAGCTGAGAAAAATCGAATGTCAAACTTGAATGGTTTTTAAAATTGAGATGGTAAGTTTTGAATGAGATAATGACTCCAAAAGATATATGAAACTTAGTTCAACTCAATTTTGGGTAAGATTTTGTCAAAAAAATTAGAATCCAGAGTTGTAATCAAATCAAATTTGAACTTTGTATTTCAACTAAGCTTGAATGTAACCATTTTTTCAAATAATTCAAAATTTACCTTCTTTTTTTCAAGAAATCTCTTTTTAAAAATCAACTTTCGAGCCTAGAGTTGCAAAAAAGAGCTCTCAAATCTTCAAATTCCAAGCAACCACATCCCTGATCACTTTATAATCAGATTTCAAAATATAGATTTAATTTTACTCTCTTTTACTCATTTTTACATTATTTTTTTAACGTTAACTATCAATTCATTCATTGTATCAATTAACTTGAGCCTCATTTTTTTCCATATAAATTATTATTTTACATACATCAATAATATTGGAATCAATTATTGTGGAACTTGATATTAGTTTTTTCATAATTTTTCTATTTGTTTTACAATCATTTCGATTTGATTTTTTACTCAGAGCTTGAAAATTTGGTGTTGGATGTCAAGCAGGAATTTTGTTTTTGAGGAAGTTATTAGGAAATGCGGAAGAAAATTTGAATCTGATATTTATTTTTTGAACTCCAAGAAATTTTATTCAAAAAAATTATTTCTTCAAAACTTTAAGGTTTCAATACAAAAAAGCTGTTCCAAGAATTACATATGATATGAACAATTCCCATCTGCATCCCTACAAAGTCCTCGAAAAAAATTCCTAAGTCATCCAAAAGAAACCAAAAACAAAGCAAAATACACAAAAATCAACTTAAATGGTAATTTCATAAAATGATCAGGTGGCTCAAAGCACCGCCAAGCCTTATTCACTTTCTGACTTCATGTGAAAACCGAGAAATTCTATTTTTTGATTCTTTCACAGATTTCTTCATTTTCAATTGTGTGGGAAACAATAAAAAAAATGCTCATAAAAATTCAATTTGAATAAATTTTTGTTTCCTTTCTTCCGCATTTCTCGGTATCATAATTGAATTCAATTTGAGTCGTATTTTTAGTGACTGACTTTTAATTCAATGGCACCGAAATGATCATAAACGTTTTACGTAAGCAAAAAATTGATATTCTTTTTAAAGGTCGATTGGTGTATGAGTCTGAGGGGGAAGGTTGAGGTGTTTTAAGGTATGAGGGGGCTGGTTTAATCTCAAACCATCTTCTTGACTTACAAGGAATTTTTGTAAACCCAAAAATCACTAACATTTTAAAGTTTAAAAAGCTTCGAATCAAAATAAATTCTCATAACCTAACCTTAACTTTAAAGACTAGAAAAAAGCCATTTAAAATCATACAGCTAAATTGCTTTAAATCAGTGGTGTCCAACCTTTCTTGTGCCACAGCACAGCTTGATGATGAACCAAAACTGAAAACATACAGCACACGGCCAAAACAGCACACGGCATAAGATTCGTAGGATTTCCCTATTTTTTCACGGCAAACTCGTGTGCCGCAGCACATGGGTTGACCATGACTGCTTTAAATGACCATGGGCATTAACATTTTACATCTTTGGTTGAAGAATTCATCACCAATGCCCCCATAAATTCAGTTAATGTACCTAAGATCATAAAGAATCACCCCTGTACCTTAATAAAAACTCTGTGAAATCAAATAATGGTCACATTAATGGAAAATAAAATTTAGACTTAAAATTGTTCCTTCATCATTTTTTGTGACATCTGCACAAATTCACATTATACTAGCTACGTTGACAGACACATACAACTACAACTTTTCTTATTTTTGATTTAATTTTAATTCCTTTTAATTCATTTAAAAAAACTTTTCATTTATCTAATATTATAATAATCTATAGACTAAGAGAACTTTTTTTAAAAAGACGAGGGAATTTTAGAATTTCATTAATTTTTTTTTCTCATTTCTAGTTCCCGTTTTTTTCGTAACTTATCCTTAACATTTAATTAATTAGATATTTTTTATGAGTATAAAAATTGTGGATTATTTGTGATTGTGTTTAAAATTGGTTGACAGCGACTTTTGATGAATTGGACTAGACTGGATAAAAGCTTAAGTTGTTTTAGATTTGTGGAATTTCGGAACTTTCATGGACCTTTTGAACAATTTAAAAAAAAATTGAAAAACTTGAAAATTGACAAAAAGCTTGGGGTTAAATGAAATCATGAGCTTTAAAGCTTTAAAAGCTCAAATTAAATTTTCAAAAAAGCTCAAAGCTTCAAATCTGCATCTAACAACTTTAAATTCATACAAATTTTAATATTAAAATAATTCCAATTTGCAATCAACAAACCTGAATAATTATTTCATAAATCATGTAGCTCCGTCTAGACCTAATCCAATAAAGTCATTCAGAACAATTAGTAACAAGACATATCTCAGCGATGAAATAAAATAAATCAGTTTAGCATACAAAACTTACTTATTCATCATGTTCTACTTAGAGACATATAATTTGTTGTTCTGCTGTCGTCTCATATGTTGAAAGTACTTAAAACTAATTATTCATGCATGAAAAATTGTTTGTGTGATGTTAAGAGGAAAGGAAGAAGAATGTGTCACAATGTAAATGAGATTCGTTGATTTAAATTCAAGTAACAACAAAATTGTCTCATCTTAATATACAACATTGAATACTATGAGATAAAAGCCACAATTCCTTCGAGGACATACACACATATGCAAATGAACATATTCTGACAATTTATTTTTGGTCAAACGGATGTTGTGATCTGTTCCAGTACTGTAACATTGTGCCTCGATTGTGAACGTGAATGTGGCTGATGAAAATGCTGTTGCTGTTGATGCTGTTGCTGTTGAAAATTGGGTCCAATTGTGCGATTGTAATTCCAATGAATGTCTCCGTTGGGATGAGCTAAACCTTCCGGAACGCTTCGACTACGAGAATTTAGACCATTCGTATATGGAACATTTGATGCTGCTGCCGCTGTATTTGAATATTGACGTTGACTATGGTACATCATATCACATCTGTCAATAATAAATGAAATGAATTTTTTTCGGCATGTACTAATTTTGGCAACAACAAACCTTGAAAAGCTCCTTTCGGGATAATTGATTTGATTCTGACAACTGCCACGATTTGGCTCATTCATCATCGCAGGCGTTTGAAAAGCAAATGATAAGCTTTTCTGTAAACGACCGTGCGGAGGCAGTGCACTACTATTATTATTATTACTACGGCAATTTCGATGAGGATTTACTGGTGTTCCATTTGGAAATTGATGATTATATTGAGGCGGATAATTTGGATGATGATGGTGATGTGGTGTGCCAGTTGTACAATCGGATGATGGATAATAAGCACCTGGCCATTGAGGATTATTACAGCGAAACGATGAGCCCACACCGCTGCCTGCACAGTCCGTTGATGTTCCATTATATCGTGATAGAACTGATCTGTGCGGAAATTATTTTTGAGGTTAGCAATTTTGACTTTTTTTAAGGTTTACAATTTTATGCCTTGTTATTTTTTAGATGGCTTTAAAAACGGGTTTGTTCCAACTTACCCGTTCATTGAGAATTTAGATGTGTTTTTCGGATATCCAACAAAGAACATCAACACACCAGAAATAGCAACCAATGCAGAACATATGTAGTAACCAGCCTTTCCGTGTGTTAATGAAGCATCATTAAGGAATCCAGTTAAAGGTATTGATATCAGCACAGGAATTGATTCAGCTCCTTTTATGAAACCTAAGCACGTACAAATGGAACAAAAAGTAAGCACAATAAGACTCTAATATACTGTACGAAACTTACCCCATGCACGAGTAAAAAATTTCCCACGAATTCTTTCTAACGCAAGCATCTTTAATGAATCTGAAGGATATTCGATAAAAGTATAAAATGGAAAAAGAATATTTGCATTTAAATTTAAATTTTAAGGTTGAATGGAAGGTTGATACGGGAATCAAAAAAATGTGTAAATTTTGCACACTCTGTGTAGGATAAAGCCCGTGGGGTACAGAAACGTGTTGGAGTGATTAACTTGATATGATTAAACCGTTTCCAAATGACGATCATTAAAATGAAATTTTAGGGAAGCTTCAGTCAATTCTTATTAAAAGTCAGGTTCAAGAGCGTCTAAGCATCTCTTTTATAGTGTGAATAATTCAGACACAAATTGAAAATTGGCTACGATCATGCCACATCCTAATTTAAAAGCTAGACGTAATTTTTATACAGCTTACATATAAAATTCAGTTTTAACTGTGTGAATATCCAAAAAAGAGCATTAACTTCTCTTAAAGTGAACTAATTACTTTTGAAGCTTGAAATCTGAAAAAGTTGAAATCATTTTATTTAAATCCTTGAATTTATTGACCAGAATGAAGCATTAAGCTCTTCATTTAATATCCAAGTCAACCAGTCGAAGACATTTCTGTTTCGCTCGGGTTCTTCCATATATTACCATCTTTTTGATTACCATCCTCGGATATTGAGAAAATAAAGAAGATGGAAAAAAAACCACTTACATCTATATCCCCCCAATCCGAATCCATATACCCAAGTAACAGCACATAATGTATGATAATTGTTTGATAACATTGAAAATATTACAATTGAAATCGATACTAGTACGACACAGCCTTGACAAATGTATTGACGAGATATTCGAATTTTTCGACGATTTGCTACTTGGCACGTTTTATTGATTGATGAGCCGCTCACTACAATTCCGACCGCAAGTGATAAACCTAAAAATGTTTGAAGAAGCACCAAATCTTGCATATCGTAACCGTCTTGAAATCCATAATAGGACTGCGAATGAAATTGAATTTACTATAATTTAACAGATGTTTAAGGAGCTGAATGGATGCTTACCAAAAAGAAGAGTGGCGTGTAGATTCCAAAAGCACCAATACTTGCTAAAATGCATAACATACGAACAGTGGAAGATCTCAAGGGCGAAAAGTCCATGAATGGCTGTTTTGGCATTTGTTGATGAGTCTTTTTCTCTTTGACCTAAAAAAAAAGATATGGAAATGAGTGGTTCCATCCAGAATTAATTTGATATTAGACCATGAATGGGAATTTCTATTTCATTTCTGAAGTCTCCTAAAAACCCAAATTATATTCTCAATTACTTTTTTATCAGATGAAGGGAATGCTGCACCCAAAAAAACTGAGTGGGATGAAAAAATTCCAATTGATTCAGTTATGCTTTACCCTTTTGGATATATTATTCATTAGATAGTTTCACATTCACTAGCTATATTGATTATATTAAAGCTTTTTCGATGCAATAAGGGGAGATAATATGATAAGTAAGTGGATGGGAGGGATAGTGGATTGGACAGAGTTGATTTTTGAAGGATTAAACAAAGTAAGCAGTTTGAATGAGTCTTTTGAAGATGTTTGAAAATCTAGCTTAGACTAAAGTGACATTTGTCTTGCTTTTACATAGTCTAAAGTTATGATCCAATAAACGATCAATTTTTAATGAGTTAAGTTAAAGTCAATACTTTCAAACGTTGTTAAACCACCAAACCAACGATTCAACTACACAAAAGTTTATTATTACAAAGGACTTGACATCTCCACTTGATATTCAAGTTTTCAAATAAAATTGTGAATGGAAAGCAATAAGACAGCATTAAAGTTTTAATATAGAATGTTTATTGCAAGAAAACATTCACCCTTAACCCACTCAACCTTCCACGAACTTGATACTATTTCTCAATGACGATACGAATTTATTATTGTGGATTCAAAGTTTAACAGTCATGATATGATTGCCAAGATACAATAAGACATGATTACCTTCTTCCTAGAGTTCTTAAGATGTAATATCGCTCTTCGTTGTGGATGATAGAGAGATGCTGGACGGTATAGCAGAGCCATAAAGAAACTTGTCGACATTAGCACTGTAACAAATTGTAATCCTAGACGCCATCCAATTTTCCTGTTTAGCATCATTGTACGTTGTAGGATATTATGAAAAATTGAATAAAGGAACAGATGAATAGAAAATTGAATTTGAAGATGAAAAATTGAATTGACTAACCCAATTCCTTCCTTTATTATCACTGAGAAGAGTGCTATACCAACTCCTTCGCCAGCCATCACAATCATTTCAACAAATTGCCGACGTCTTTTAAAGTAATGACCAATCATTACAGATGCGGAATCACGCACTAAACTTGCTCCAAATCCAACAACAAGACCTAAAAGGGAGAAAAGCGAAAAGTACGGAAATATTTCATTATGTCTATGAGACTTTTTCTTCCTTGCTGATTTCATTTCGAAGTTTTATTGTATAAAAAGCAATAAATAGCATGAGCCATGACTTAATGAGAGTGAGAAAAGTTTCCGTTATGTCCACGGAAGAAATAAAAGCGCAAAAAGTGCCAAAAGAATGAAGAGGCTTGGAAGATGAATCGAAAATGTCAGTTAAAGGCATCAAAAGCGCATTTTGTTTTTTGATTGTTCAGTGAATCTCAACTTTATTCTGGCATTAAAAAAGCTAAGCATTGCTGGGGCATAAACTTTGTTCCAGGATAAACATGCCACAAGCTACTTTAAAAAGTTCTTTGTGTAATTTTGTCTGAAGGATAGCAACTTTAGATTTTTAAAAAAGTCAACACAGCTCCGAACTTTGTGTGGCCTTATTGCTTAGCAAAATATCGCTGCCCTTTATATCCTTTTAAAAAAGCTCACGATAAAAAAAAGTTGTTGAATGTTGCCTTTGTAAATATTCTCAATGGCTAAATGCCTATGCCATGGCAATCATTGCAAACAAAGTTTCATTCATCCAGTGTAGGATGAATCGACATTAACGGAAGCTATTTACTTGTCAGAAGAATGAGAAGCAATAAATGAAATTTGAGAAGATTTTTTGCAGTCAATTATTATAAGGAAGTTCCAAGGCAATAATCAATAATATTTAAAGTCATACTTACAATAACTTAAAGCTACTTGATGTACGAGTGTAGCAAATGATGCAAATAAAATTCCTAAAGCTATCACCAATCCGCCAATAACAGCTACAAGACGTGTCGATTTACGACGGCACATGGCAATCACAATTGATGCTGAAAATAATGACATCGCCCATGATGCGGACCCAAGCCAGCCTACAAAGAAACAAGAATAAATAGAAATTAATTTCTCACATCCTAAAACTGTTATGTGCTGTTTTATTGACTTAATCGCAAAAAGTTGTTAACATGTCGTTTTTCATTGACTATAGATGACGGCGAAATTCTTAAAAAAAATCGGAAATGACATTCGATTTATTTTATTGTGCGATTCCGTTTGTGTTCCTTTGATTATTGTTTTAAGATCAGAAACATACACATTAAATAACAGTTTCTTCCCGCTCTGTTGTGTGTTCGCTTCTGTCGGTTGACTTTTATTGTTTTCGATTCCTTTTTATCAGTTTTATTGGATTTATGGGAAAATTTCAATTCATTTAAAAGGAAAGACTTTGTTTTATTGGCATTGGACATGAGGGAACAAGAAAAACATTAAATCGGCTCATAAATGATTGAAATGGCATTGGTTATTGAGGATTTATGCCAAGAAAATAATTGAGTGCTTTTTTGAAGGCTGGATGGATCATTTAAAAGTCAAAAGAGTTTGTCGTGCTTGAACTGAGATTTGTAATGTCTTGGAATTTGCATTATTAGATTACTTTAGGGGATACTTAAGACAATATTCATAAATATAGTTTCCAATTTGTAATGTCAGACTTTATTGGAATCTGTTGAGTTGATTCAAATGTAAAGACCATTTCAATCGATTGACAACAGATTAATTCATTTTATGGCAAAAACTTGGGTGCGATTCCCACTACAAATCAGAGTTTTGCAAAAAGTTCTCAATATGCTCACAGCATCAACAAAAAGCAATAAGAAACCTCAAATAAGACGTAATTTATTAAGTAAACAAAAAACTTTGTGTTGTTTTTCATCCAAACACAATAAAACCTGAACAAAAGGAATGCAATATGAAATCCCATATTTTCTTTACCAATTGAGCATCTATCATGTCTCCTATTCAAATGAACTTTCTTATCTCTTTTCAATTAATCATTTTCCCCCATTATTTCAAGTCAGCATAATCCAAATGTTTTTATTTTCTTGGTGCTCGGTAGAAAAAAAAATATCGATTCGCTTGGACAGTTCTAGTCTTACTAATGCAATAAAAAGAAAAATGAGTCGAAGATGTCAAGGCAATGTACCGAGAGATTATACTTTATACATACGACTTAAGATTCATTAAATTTTTCTTTCTTTTCTCGTCCTTAATACACTGGAGGCAATGATAGGAGGATAATGATATCACCATAGACAACATTCTGTGGCTTTAGGTCACTCGAAACAAAACGCTTTGGGATTATATTTCAAAGCTAATTTTCTTAATTAATTGGACGAAAATCGCTCGTCATAGCTCCCTCTCAATTCTATTTTTCACATCAGTCTTGTCAACATAATCGTTATTGCGAGAGATTTGTCTAATTGACAGACACATACGAAAGAATTCTTATTGTCATAACATTGTCTCAGGATACTGTCAAGCTATTGATGTTGGTCAAAAATACTGTTTGTTTCTCTTTTTATTGTTATCGATCAACTGAAGACGATGAAAGGGGATGACATCAGATAGAGAAAATATAAATTATGACATGATGTGAAAGATATTACATACATTTGTGTCTCAAGTCATTCCCAAGCTGGTTTTTAAATTATGATTGATGAAGCAGTGTCGTTGAATTTTTTTGGCAGTTTTTAGTCACATTCTTACCACTTCCTATGCTACATGTTTGTGATATCTGAAGGATGTGATTATGAATAAAAGATTTCTTCCTACTTGTGTTATATTTTGTTGTTTTAAAAAACATGTTGGATTTTTATGACATGCTCTTATAATATTTTAATATGGAGGTTGTTCAAGGAATTCATTTTAGGATGTTTTTAAATCTGTTGCTTGGTTTGTTAAAGAACAATATTTTTTTAGGATGTTCCAATTTGATTTTCAATGTGAATTAATTTTCACATGATTCATTTAATAGAGACAGTATTGCAATTGATAATGGTGACTTAAGAGAGATAGCCAGTGATAGAGCTGGTTTTATTTAAATGAATGAACAAATTATACTGTCCATACCTTGATGCGCCATTGTTATTTATACCAAGATTTAAATTTCCAACTTGAATCTCATTGAAAAAATATTTCCATCACCCAGAACCTCATTATTCTACAAATGCAAAGCAAATAGGAAATTCCTCGCGAGAATAAATCACATACTAGAACCCCATTTTACAGATTTTCTATTTCCTCATTTTCTAAAATAACAAAAACAATTCCATTCCCAAATATCCCTCATTTTTTAAATGAAAAAAAAGAAAGAATCTCAAAATTAATAGGAAACAACGGAGATTAGAAAGAACGCGAGAAGTGATAATTAACGAGACGTAAAATTTCTAAACAAGGATAAAAAAAAAACTTCCATCATCATTTTCTTACTTCCTTAACTTCGCATCTCATCTCATCTCTGTGAAAAGATTGTAAATATT